TTCCTTCCCTTTCTCATTTGAATTGTGATTTTTTTACGAAAAATAATTTTAACTAATCAAAACAAGTAGTGCTTCTTAAATCAAATGTCTAAAAAATAAACCTTTTTCCTCAACAATTGATTAGTTCATAATGTGTTATTCAGTCTAAGTACAGTTACCAATATAAATAGGCTTTGGAAGATGCTTGCACCCTTACACTAACGTGATTACTGAAAAAGAACATAAAGCTTGAATTGGCAATAATATTCTTAGTAGTAATTTCCAAGAGTTTAATTAACATGGTAAAAAAAACTAACACATTTAGATATAATGCATAATCATTACAAGAACTGCTAGTAGCTATTAACACTTCTCATCAAAGCATTACAAGAAATACTATTACACAGTCCAAAATAAAGGAAATAAAAATTTCAAAAAATATTGTACAATTCAAAAAATTCAAGTTAGCAACTGGGATGGTGACAGATGAATGTGAGAAGAAATCAAGTTGGTATGTTCTATGTTTGAAAGAAAATGGAGAGTGAGAAAGAAAGATCGAGTTGCAGAATAGAGAGAGAGAGAAAGAGTGAAGGGGTTGAAAAGAAATCCTAGGGGTGGAGGTAGGATTTTGTTATGCTTATAATCCTTTCTCAAATGGTACAAAATCTCTTATTGAAAGAAATCTTTCAAAATCTATGAATTTTTAAATACCTATAGTTTTGCATGGACTCTATAAAAATCCTTTAAAATCTCAGTTGACTACATTAGGATTCTAAAGTCTTTAAAAATCCTGTAATTGACTACCCCTTAATTGACTACCCCTGTATTTGAATGGATTCTTTTAAAATATTTTAAAATCTTAGTTGACTACACCATGATTCTAAAATCTTTTAAAATCCTTTAAAATCCTCATTCGACTACACCGCCCTTTATTTATATCCCCTATGTGTTTTCTTTTCCTCAATATTTCAACTTTTCTCATACGGTATGTGCTCCTAAACTCAAAAAATCAACGGTTAAATCTTGTATATTATTATTCTTCATTTTTTTTAAAATATCCAAAATCACTCAAAAAAAACTTTTTTAAGCTTGGACACATTGACTGCATCTTTAGTATGAATGTATCACCTTGTGTTATAAAAAATGGACGTTTTGATATAAGCGCCTCGTTTTTTAATTTTTTAGACTAAACATACACTCCTTTTGAAAATTTGATCAGACATTTTCCTAAAATTTTGGTTATTAATTTCAGTTTTTCACATAAGTTCAAATTTTTTTAGAATTTTAGTTTTTCACGACTTTTCCTGGACATTTCCTTTTTTTTTTCTTTTCCACTTATCCCTATATTTGTGCATTTATTATCCATCTCTATGCATTTTTTTATTGTTTGTTATAATTTTACTTTTTTGTGTGACTATAGTAGAATATTTATAAAAAATAATTGTCAGATTTTATTATTTAGAACCCAACACATAATAAAGATTTGTTTGATTATATAGCTACGTCTAGTTACCTATAATATGGACACATTTGTTTTCTAGTGGATTTGATTTTTTGTATTTCTCGGTACATTTGGAATATAAATGTACCAAAAGGGTTATCTGATAGAGACATTTGGTTTTGTGGTACATTTGGAATCTAAACGTACCAAAAGGGTTACCAGACAATGGGCACATTTGAAATTTTGGTACATTTGGCTTCTCTATACATTTGAAATCTAAACGTACCAAAAGGGTTACATAACAATGGGTACATTTGGTTTTATGGTACATTTGAATTTATGCTACATTTGGTTTCTCGATACATTTGAAATATAAACGTATCAAAAGTCGATACTTTTGTTCTCAAATGTACCATAAGTTTTAAGTATATTTTTATATATATCTATACGTGAAAAAATATGTATTGAAGACTTTTTATTGAGACATTTTTAATAGAAAGAGAATTTTTTTTTTAAATACTGATAATAAGGTAATGAGGAATTAGTTAATTAATTTATTATTTTATTTTATTTAAAAAATGTCATTTAATGCGTAGAAGGGGATTGATGAAATTAAATTCCTATATTATAAGGAATTAGTTGCTAAGCTACCTTATGCCTCTATATAAATGCATTTAAATTAATGACATGGAAATTAAATAAATAGAAAATTATTGAGGTGGCAATTGATCAAAGCACCTTAATCAAACCTTTAAATGGGATGAATGTTTTATCTGACAACTATAGAAAAGATATAGGGCATTCTAATTTTCCCTATAATTCGTGTAAAACATCATATTGCTGTGCATATGGGATCTCTTTTTTATAGACATTTTTCACAATTTCTCAATTTTTAGATGATTTGAAGGGAGGACTGTATGGACCAAAACTCAACACGACATAATTGCGCTAACTCTATTAAGATGACAAAAATGCTCCTTAAAAAGGTGGCAACGTGCACACAAAAATGATGGATTTTTTGACAGAGATTAACTATGATGATACATTCACACTAAAAATGTAGTCTTGGTGATAAAGAGAATGAACCAAAAAAATGCTACAACGAAATCAGATTATTGGTGAAGACTAATGAGAATGAAGCCTTACTAACTCAGTTAACGGCTAAGCAAACTAATTAATGTGCTTAATCCAAGCAACTATTAACCAAGCAAGCATGAAAACTAACACAGCCATGATTCGTAATACAAAATATTTATTTGTATGGCTTTATAGGTTAACTTTAATAATTAAATACTTAACAAAATCCTGAAGAGCAATAGCCCATGGTCAGTTTGTATAAACAATCTTTTGTAGCTATTTGCACATTCAGCAAGCTAACGTCCTCAATTTTCATTTTCCTCATTGTGATCTCTCCATGCCAACTTTCAAAAGTGAATCTTTTTGTTATTTCTGCAGACATTTGGAAAATAACTGTTTACTACCTTGCCTTGTATTTGCATGCAGGAACCCGGGTGGCAATGGCACTCCTGAGTGGCTAGCGAATGTTATAGTTGCTGTTGTTGCGTGCCTGACTGGTGTATCTCCTTTCATATATTCATCTTCCAGGTTTTTGTTCATCTCAAAGCAGTTGGATTTTTACGGTGTTGTTGCGTTCTCGAGTGAATGGTGCCATATATATCGTATTAATTTTTACGGAGAGAACTTCACTACCTTGTTTTATATTTAAACTAACTTGGATGATTCGTCGCTTTCTCTCTAGGTGCCAAGAGAGTGATTGTCCTTTCAACGTGCGTGCTGTTTGACCTCTCACTTGCGGTTGTATTTTTTGGTATCGTTCCACCATTTACCACAGACACATCCAGAGCTGTAAATGTAAGTTTCTGTTAGCAGTGCACCTACCTCCTGGTGTGTCCTTACCGTACTTCCTAATTTTGTACGTCGTATACCAATGAAACTTTGTACCTTGTATTTACGCTCATAAAGCTGTTTTTTCTCTGCACGATCCATGACGTTGTTTTTTTTTTTTTAACCAGAGATAGAAATATATTAAAGACGAAAAGAGATGTTTACATCCTTAGCAAAGAAATTAAACAGAAAATCAGGGCCAATACAATCCCAAGTAAAAGATTGTCCCTCCTTAAAGGCATACTTAGCCACCGAGTAAGTAGCACGATTGCCCTCTCTAGGCACAAAAGCAAAAGAGACAGACCTCAACTTTTGCGCTAGAACCTCAATGTCGCCAAGAATGCATTCAATACTAAAGTTAGTCACCACTTCCTTCTTCAGCATCAGAATAATCATTTTTGCATCAGATTCGATGACAATATCATCAAATCCGTGGTCAATACAGGCCAATAAGGCTTCCCTTATGGCAAGAGCTTCCGCAGCAGCTGCACTATGGTAGAATCCGATGCCAGACCCACCAGCAACTTGAAGCAATCTAGCAAAATCACGACCCAGCCAACCCACCTCCATACGCATTGTACTCTTACACTAAGCCGTGTCAGTATTAATCTTGATGATTCCATACCTTGGTTTCTGCCACTTACCATAGGTATTCCCCGTGTCCTTTATAGTCTTCGACAGCCTAGGGCTATATTCAGCAGAATCCCGAGCCATAGAGACTCTGTACTCAGTAATACTCTCGTCCAGGCCTCAAAGATCTCCAAAGGCTGGCGATGGATCACATTAAAAACCACCTCGTTTCTATTTTTCCACAGTCTCCACATGCCAAAGGCAAAGTCTTGGCGGATCTCGTCCGCATTATCCCTGTCCTTAACCTGCGCACAAAATTACTCCAACTCTCTAAGAAATCACTTCCCTCCAGGACATGGGAATTTAGGTGTAGGGGAGAACAGAACTAGACGACATGACTAATTTCATACCGGAAAAACATATGGTTTTCAGTTTCATTGAAAGAATTGCATACACCACAGACATTGTCAATTCTCATGTGACGCCTCTTCAGATTGCGTCTGACCGCCAGAGCATTATTGCAGCAGCGCCAAATGAAAATTTTAATCTTATTTGGAACCTGCAGACTCCAAATGTTGTTCCATACCAGATTTAGCTTGTTAAACTCACTGGGGGCGCCTCGACCTTTCCATCCCAGAGCTCAATTATCCATAAGATTTATAGCCAGACCATACCCAGTTTTGACAGAGTAAATCCCATTAGTAGTATGGTGCCACACCAGACAATCATCGATGCTAGCATGGCTTAAAGGAATGCTTAAGATCGGTAGCACATCATCTTGATTGAACCCGTTCGAGATCAAATCAGTCCTCCAAGAGTTGGTAGACGAATCAATTAAGTCACTAACCTTGGTTTCTTCAAGATTGGCTTTCGGTTTGACTTTAAAGGTCAGGGGTTTCGGGAACCACGGGTCCTTCTTGATATTTATACTGTTCCCGTTACCCACCCGTCATCTAAGCCCAAGTTGCAGCACTTTCCGGGCTTCGAATAAGCCTTTCCAACCCCACGAAGTGTTCTTCCCTCTAGAAGCTTCCCCAAAGGGTTTCCCCAGGAAGTATTTATCTCGCAGCACCGAAGCAAGAAGGGACAAAGGATTTTGGGTGATTCACCAACCAATCTTAGCAAGGAAGGCAAGGTTGAAGCATTGGATGTCCTTAAATCCCAATCCTCCAGCCTTTTTTTGCTTCATAAGCCAATCCCAGGAGATCCAGTGGATTCCCTTACGTTGATCACTGCCTCGCCACCAGTAATTCTGAATGGCTCTTTCAATATCTCGACACACACCAATGGGGAGCTTAAAGCAACTCATGGCGAAGTTAGGCAAGGCCATAGCCACTGCTTTCACAAGAACCTCTTTTCCAGCCTGAGACAGGAACTGCTCAACCCAACCTGACATGCGGGCTTCAATCTTATCCCGAATCTCAGCAAAAACCATTTTTTTAGAGTGCCCAAAATCAGCCTGCAGGCCTAAATATTTCCCAAAACCTTGTTTGCATTGAATCCCAAGGGTGTCCATAATTTTAGCCTTAATACACTTCGGGGTATTGGCACCGAAGAAGACTGAACTCTTGGCCAGGTTAACCTCCTGACCAGAGCTCTGAGCGTAAATCTTTAAAACTTCCACGATACTTTTCACTTCCTCCACAGAAGCATTTCCAAACACCACAGAATCGTCCGCAAAGAAAAGATGCGATAGAGGTAATCCGGTAGGAGAAATCTTGAACCCGTGAAGGGCACCCTGTTCCAGGCTTCTCTTAATTAACATAGAGAAGCCTTCAGTGCAAAGAAGGAACGGGAAGGGAGAGAGAGGATCTCCTTGTCTAAGCCCCCGTTCAGGCCTGATGTACCCAGATGGGGATCCATTTATAAGAACACTAAAAGATACAGTAGATATACATTCCTTGATCCAGCTACAGAAAAGAGGGGCAAACCCCAAACTAACCATCATACCCATGAGGAAGTCCCATTCAATTCGGTTGTAACCCTTAGCCATATCAAGCTTGATAGCCATACCAGGATGGTCCCTTTTTTTTCTGATGGAGCAAGGAGTGTAGGACTTCATGCACCACTAGGATATTGTCTTGAATTTGCTTCCCCGCCATGAATGCATATTGGTTATCCCCAATCACTTTAGGCATCACCTTCTTAAGCCGATTAGTAAGAACCTTTGCAATGATCTTATAGATGACATTACATAACGCAATTGGCCGATATTGCGTCATATTTTTGGGGCATTTCACCTTCGAAATGAGCACTAAGTTGGTATAGGCCGCCCTTAACCTCATTTGAGGCGAGCTCATTAGAAATATAGGCCGCCCTTATCTCCTCCTTCAGTTGCTAGATCAGTTTCAAGGAATTCCTGCCTCTCCCTTTGTACCAGACCTTTAATCTTTTTCTGAGATGTTTCACTTTTTCGCAAAAACGGAACGCATGAGACCCATTGATCTTATCTCTCCATTCTTTAACAACCAGGTCACGACATTCTTCCAACCTGCTCCAGCGGCTGTCAAACGAGAATTTCCTTCCCCTCCAATCCGGGATCTTATCAGTCGAGAGAAACAGAAGGGCATGATCAGAACCTTCCAAGATCACATGCTTAATTTTGGTGTTAGGATACATTTCAAACCACCCTAACGTTGCCAGCCCACGGTCTAGGCGTTGCTGGATAGGCAGAGATTCCCTATTGTTCCTCCAGATGAAGGGGTAGCCTTCATGACCCAAATCCATGAGCTCGTCCCGAGCCACAAAATCTCTAAAGTCACGCAGACTAGCAGCCGATCTATAATTCCCACCATCTTTCTCTTCATTACAGAGGATATCGTTGAAGTCGCCTAAGAGGAGGCATCGGTCCCTATCTTGGCCAATGCGCATCGATAGTACTTGCCATTGCTCCTTTCTCTTCTTTTCATCAGTACTGGCGTAAATGGCGAATAGTCGCCAGTTGCAATTCATCTTTTCATCCCACAGCTTGAGTTCCATAAAAAATTCCTCCGATTTTGTTAGCACCACAAGAGACTCATCTCTCCAAAAAACACATAAACCACCTCCAATGCCCTGAGGCTCAATAGCAAACCAGTGTTCCATACCTAGACTCCCTTTCAGATGGACAAAGCTCCTACTCTTATTCTTAGTTTCCAGTAGAATAACCATATCAGGGGTGTGAAGCCGGTTCTGCTCCAGCAAATTGTCAACTGTCAGGTCACCCCCGATACCCTGACAGTTCCACGTGATTATCTTCAGATCCATGATGTTGTTGAAATATCACTAATTGGAAAATATTTTTATTTGTCCGTTCAATAAGAATATCTAGATGTACGGATATTTACAAATACTATATGGTTTCTGAGGTTGTGCATGTTGTAGATACAAGAAGCAGCTTTAGTGGAAAACAAGATCCTAGGACGTATGTGTCGCTGTTTTCGCACTCGTGTTTGTAAATGAAGTGCTATGCTGAAAAGTTCAGTGTTTTACCACGTATGGATGGACTTAGCTTTCTCTCACAAACTTTTGACCTCAGATGCAGGAAATTCGGAGGAATTGGTTTCTTTGGGTGACATGAGCAGCGTAGATGGATGGCACATTATTCAGTATTCCGGAGGACAGAATGCACCGACAAGGTTCGATATTGCACTCTTCTGGTCACAGAACTCTACCCGGATGGCTCACGAGGTTGAATGGAAGAGAGACGAGCACACTCCCCTTCTAAAGTTAAGAACTGAGATGGGCATATTGACTCCCAAGTCGAAAGAGTTCCTTCAAAGCTTCCTCCTTGGGGCTCGCTGTTTGGCAAGTTTATGTCCCCCACACCCTTGCATTTTTGAGCAATCTACCTGCTAATTTTTAGGTGCTTCGAATGTAATTTATACGTTTTGCTTGCAATTACATAGGAACTTTCAGATTGAAGAAAAGAAAATGAATCATGCATAAGCACACACAAATTAAATGGGTATATGAGTTTCAATATAGCATTACCGTTATCATTTTTAAGTGTAATTAAGCATGCAATTTTGTATTGAAGACATTGTCATATGACATTGCGCTTATAGTGACATGTTGATCTACCCGAAATCTTAAAGTCGAGTTCAAATTATAAATCTTATATGCATGATACTCGTCATTTATTAAAGAACAAAAATTCATCGATACATACTATTGACACATTATTAATAACAGAAATTCTGTTGCATAACCATACTATTATCACAACAATTAAAACATTTACCTTCACAGTTTATAGGCTTAACTTAGACCACAAAATCATGGGCTTTATCCATTACCCCAACGAAGTAAAACTGTAAAAGAGTGGGGTTTTACTTTTACCCGAAGTGAAATAGAAGAAACAGAGATACACACGTGTGGAAGGAAAAGTTAGGTAACTCAGTTAATATTGGCGTGAAACAGTTGCTCCCTCATCAGACCAAACACAGTGGCTTCCCTCATCAGATGTCATATAGCTGAAACAAACCCCAAAAAAAGAAAGAACCTGAATCTGACATAGAGAGAGAGGAGGAGGAGAGAGAGACAGGGTCCAAGAAATGCGGACGATACCGTTGGGAATATCAGCAGCATCCCCAACCTCCTTAAACAGCTCCTTCCTCAACACTCTCAACCTCAACAGACCAAACCCTCTTGTTCCTCTTAGTAATTCCACTTCTTCCAGGGTTCCTGTTCCTGCCTCCACCTCCACTGATGACTTTTCTCTCCTTCACTTCTCCAAATCTGGTGGGTAATCCAAAAGCTTCTGTCTTTTTACTTGTTTTACTTCAATTCCTTAATTTCTATGTCAGAAAGTTTTTGGGTATTTTGTAAAATTTAGTTTTGTGTTGACTCCTCATTTGGGTTATGAATAATCAAGCTTAGTTTTTCTGATTTGTTTTGGCAATCAACAGAGGTTTTTCCGTTGTGGGACTGGTTTTGTAGGAAGCACTTCGTTCATAATCGTTCTTGCTAGAAGCGCTTTAATTAGAAGCACCTTCGTGTTTTTATTAAAAACTGCTTTTCTAGGAAGCACCTGCTCTGATCTATAAACACTTTAAGTGTCGATCGTCAAACATGATTAGAAGCGCTTTTGTTTGTCTGACGCAGATGAGTGATTGTCTGTTTTATACTCAAAAGTCATATGGGAAATTTGGGTTTTTGAGATTCTATTTGGATGATTTTTTTGGTTATTGGGTGTAGGAGTTTGCAGAGCCAGTCAAGTGGCTGATTTATTTCCCACGGTGTCTCCCGAGATTGTGGTCCGGGAGGCACGGTTGGAGGATTGTTGGGAGGTGGCTGAGACTCACTGCAGCTCTTTCTTCCCCGAGTATTCTTTTCCCTTGGACTTTGTTTTGAGGATTGACCGGCTGGTGGGGATGCTGGCCGGATTTTCTCTGCCGAATGGTTGTAAGAGAACTTGTCTGGTTGCTGTGATTGGTAATGCTGGTTATGAAACGTTCCTCTTTGGGAGTGATGATTTCAAGGTTGGCGGTTTTGATGGGAAGTTCAATCTCAATAGGAGGTATGTGGCTGGAATATTGACTGTAGATACTGTTGCTGATTTTCTTCCGAGAAAAGGACCTCTTCGTCAGAGAAGGTCAGTTCATAATTACTTAAAAGAAAATTTTCTTTGACTGTTAAGCCCTGAGTAGCTTATAGTTTTCTAGTCGAATTGAATTTCGATGAAACTTATTTGTTAACCATTAAAGAGTTGAAGTAAATCAGTACTGTTGTCTATGAAAAACCGGTCTTTTTTGTGCAACATGATATGAACTGTTTATCATCTCGTTATGGAGAAAGGTTTTTATTGTATATCAGAAGCTTTTTTCATAACACAGCTATCAGATTAACAGGAGATAAGAGGATTGATTTGTTACTTTCTTCACTGATTAGTGTGGAACCACAATTAGCTTTTCTCGTCCGCTTTATCAGCGTACAAAAAACCATTATCTTTGGCATTGTTTGGTTTCGCCCCTACTTCTTTTGATCTCCGACATCATTCCCCTTGGCCTGTCTATAGAGAACCTCATCCGAACCAATTACGTGGGTTTTTCCCAGGCCCTTTCCAGCCTCAACGCCCACCCTCGTTTCCTTCCCTAGCCCTTTTCTGTGTCTGTTCTGAATTTCTCTTCATCACATCAGCTGTTGCAGCTCAAATATTCATCTCCTGTGCATGTGCAAATGATGTGTTCTCATCTGTCACAAATGTAGTTTCTGATACATAGGCGAAAAGAAATTCTTAGATTCATATCGCACATTAGAAATGATATGGTGTTGGCTAGTACCAACCGTAGACCAACCCTGATATTCAGTTTCTTGTAATCGATGAGAGTTCAACTCTCCGAACCTTTAAATCCAGTGACTTCAGATGTTCATTCTAAAATGTGGCAAGATATATAGTTCATCTGGTATACATTCTTATTTACATATGTGCATGAATTTTTCGATCGCAGGACTGGAGTTGCGTACGTATCAAACGTTGCTGTCCGGGAGACATTTCGACGAAGAGGAATAGCTAAAAGGCTAATAGCAAAGGCAGAAGCCCAAGCCAGGAGCTGGGATTGCCGTGCCATTGCACTGCACTGCGACTTGAACAATCCCGGGGCCATAAAGCTGTACAAAGGCCAGGGTTTTAAAAGCATCAAGGTGCCGGAAGGAGCGAACTGGCCCCAGCCCAAGACCGGTCCGGACGTTCGCTTCAACTTCATGATGAAGCTTCTGAACCCCAAAACTGCTGGCTTAAGAAACGAATAAGACGGACAAAAGAACAGACAATTGGAAGGACAAAAGAACAGGAACAAAAACTAGGATGTTTGAGAATAGGTTGTATAAAATTATGTAACCTTAAGATGAATCTGTGCTAGCAACCTGTATTTTTCGTTGGATAAAACGCTAATTTTGTAAATATTTGGGGGGAGGTCTGGTTGGAGCATCTTCATATCTTGTGAAGATATACTTCTGCTCAATTTATATTTCTCCAATTTTTTTCAGAGTCGTGTAACATGTCGTGCCTGAAACTGCTGATCACCAGCACCGCCATGGCGGAACTAAAGACAGCCATGGTACCAGACAAAGAAAATACAGAAATTGCTGTTCCTCGTATACAAATTCTAAAACAGAGCGACCATGATCACAAAACATAAAATTGCAACGTTTCGAACCAAATCAAAATTGCAACGTTTTACCATGGACAAGCAGATGCTCTCATAAGATGCTGCTTAGAATTCCACGTTATTCGACATGTTTATAGTTCTCAAAGTATGGTAAACTCAATCTTTCTACAGTGGTATTATAGTGCCATAGGTAAACAAATGTCGTCGAGATCTATGGGTGCCTAACAACCTATGCCGGTAAACATTTTGAGGCATGAAGATGCCGAAGAAGCCAAAGGATTTTCCACTTGGATAGACGTAAAGCTTATGATGCTTGGACAAATTTGTCTAAAGCAGATGTATCCAAAGCTGGGAACTCCTTCACGGCAGCAAGCACAATGTTTCCAAGTGAGACGGCATCATTGTTGCTCGGTGCCTACAGTGTAAAAGTCGTATGAGTTGCAGTACATTAAGAAACGATTGCAAGTTGTGAGTTTTTCGCCTACCTCTATGTTCAAGGGAAGTACAGGATCATGCAGCGAGAGTCTAAGAAGAAACCATCCTCCGTAGCCAGAAACTCGGACCTGTTTCGAAGTGCACGTTGGGGAACCATGTGTTTAAGAAACTAAGCAATGAAACAGTGACAATAAAGTCAGTCTCGACGAAAATAAACTTACCCCTTCGTGGTTAACAGGGGCTTTTTTAAGCTTCGGATCAGAGTCGATATAGTTCTCCAAATGTTTCAACACTGCTTCTCCATAGTCTCGGAAAAATCTGCAAGCTTTGATTTATCAGAAACCTTAAAGCATTTACCCATGTACACAACACACAGAACAAACTCTTAACGAGGATTAACATATACAGTAACATACCCTCCTTTAAGATCTGGATGACTTTGATTGATCTTTAATCTCAACTCAACTGAAAAACCTGGTTCCTCAAGACCTTCCAAAAGACCGGTCAAAACTTTGCTGCCACCGACTTGCCCTGAAGCTCTGGCTGAAGCAAGTTTATTCAATATTTTGACCTGAAAATAATGCCACAGCGGCTAAATTCAAACAGTAGGAGCAGCAGCAACAAAGTCACCAGAAATGATAACAAAAGATGAGCGAATTTTTCACATCACGGGATTGTATGTCAATTAATGGACAATCAATCTCAAGTGTAAGAATACCCGTGCAGTGTTACATTAAAAGCCTACCATGAGGTATGCGCCATCGTCAAGCCAGTGGTTTTCCTTGAGAGCTCCATGGCCACTTGTCTCAATAGCCAGATGTGATTCCTCACCAACAGAGTTCTGTAATCAATATAGACTTCAGTTGAAAAGCAAAATAAGATGCACAATGAGACGAGAATCATCAACACAATGTTGGCTAAGATGTGATATAACTGTTTATTTCACGTGTATATTTGGAATATTGAAAACAATATAATTAGGGAAAACACTATGCCCCAAAAGATCTATGGGCTTGGAGCCTTGACCAGAAAAGGTTTACAAAAAGCGATGGGTGTAAAGAAAAGAAGTTAAGGATCTAGCAGTACCGCCAAAATATCAGTTGATTTCATTGCCAGTTGCTGTTGACGGTTGGCTAGAACTAGATTGATTAGGAAATTTTGTTCGGTTCTTTGATAGTTCCTAGATTATAACGTACAAACCATGCCTGGAAGGACCATACTGTTCCTAATGCTAGATTCAGGATAAAAGATCTCCCTGGAGTCCGTCCTTTCAAATATGCAAAAAATATCTCCAGGACTACGGGGCTTCTAAAGCTAGAAGCACTTGGATGCAAGATCTTCCGTGAATTATTCCTTATTGATTTTGTATGAATCATAAAAAGTGTAGGCAAGATAACTAGACAGTTTTTCTTACCAAACGAATAGCTTCATCAATGACATTTTTGTAGCCTCTTTTGAAACGATGGTGCTTTCCCCCTACAAGAAAATGCTAATTGGTAACTGTTAAACATTCCATACAATAAGAGAAGTACACCATTTCAGTTTCTTTCATACCAAGTTTCTTCTCAATAAATGTGGTGAGACCGTCTGAAGTCACGCTGTCTGTAACAATGGTAGTTCCCGGATGCTAAGAAAATTAAACCACAAAAAAATATTGAGATAAAACGTGGAAACACATGAAATGATATATTTTGAAATACAAGAGACTTGTTGCAAAAACAGAAGAAAAATTTTACCTCCTCAAGAACAATTGCAGACATCAAGGCAATCAGACGATTCCTATTGAACTCCAGGCCGGTTGAATCCACCGCAGCAGATCTAAAAGAAACACTAATTAGAAAGAGGCAAACAAACTTAATGTAAAATAGATCTGTAGGCCGCAATAAAATGTACCTATCAACATCTGTATCAAAGATGATCCCCAAATCAGCTTTGTTATCAAGGACTGCCTGGGTGATAGCTTTCATTGCTGTTTTGTCCTCTGGGTTCGGGATATGATTTGGGAACATACCTGATCCAAGATCATATATCTTATTAAAAATCCCGATACTGTATTTACAACTTCAATATTCTAGCGTTCAACAATCAATATTACCATCTGGCTCCAAGAACTGACTTCCAGTGGTGACTGCACCAAGAGGTTCAAGCACTTTTGCCTGATAAAATTGAAAAGAACATCCTTATGATTAACTTGAGTACGTATTGAACAAATATCAAACCCTTTTCATCAATGCACATAGCAGACTGCCATCAAATTACAAATTAACGTCAAATAAAATTCTCTAACAGTACAGGCAGGAAGCAAAATATCAGTGTCCAAAACAAGGAAACTTACAGCAAAAAATCCTCCTGCTCCATTCCCTGCGTCAACTACAATATGAAACCCTTCCAGTGGCTTCTCTGAGATTATATAACACCGCACAACAAATTAGGAAAAAGAAGACAAAAGTGCCTCAAAGGACAATCATTTAAATGGAAGGGCAAAGAAGGAGCTGATTATAATAACAGATTTATACAGAATGCAAGTGCTGGTGTTTGACACTTATCAAACAAGCCAATTACAACCAACATCTCACTTCATAGTAGGGATGAAGAACTGAATCTGAGTACATTTCCACAATGATGAAGATTCCCTAGAAGTCGTACCTATATTTCCTGCAGCTTTGCGAACTGCCTTTACAAGATCAGATGTATAGACACTCATGTAATCAACTCTTTTTACGGAGGCAAGCACTTTTTCTTTTGAGCTCGTCAAACCTTCAACTGTAAATTTATCATATATATCTGCAGCACGCTCTAAGATGTTCTTAATGTCAGGTTTCCCGAGCCCTCCAGAATTTGTGAAAAATTTGAACCCATTCCTGTTGTAAGGCAAATGACTTGCTGTTGAAATAACACCAATATATTGCATCAGGGGAAGCCAACACAGATGAGATACCCTTAAGGAAAAAATATAATCTCCAAACTAATACCAAATTTAATCCTGTGGATAGACAATAAGGCCAAAACTCTAGGTGGTAAAAAAACATAGTTTACAAATGAACATGCATACCCTACCTGTTATCATAATAGACCCATCGGAGGGGCATAAGAAAGAATCATCTTCAGTAATTGTGCTATTAAACATTGCAGGTGTGGATGCCAATCTACATAGAGGAAAACAGTTTCAATCAATATCCAGGTCAATCAACACTTACTGGTCATACACAAACCAGTATCTATTTCAACAAAACTATCAATCCAAATAGTCATTCCAGAGTCTATCAACATTAAGATCAACGATATAATAAAGAGAAGTTCATCACCCACCCGTATTGAACAACATCCAGACCAGCACTGGCAATCCCTCGCGAAATGGCATCCTGGAAGTTGATTTATTAAATAGAACCAAATTATCATTAAAAGGAAAGTACTATCACTAAAGCTTTCCAGCTACATTATTGAAAAAGGTAGTGTGAGATTAACTTTAACACCTAACAACGGTATGGTATCTATCCAAAAATATGATTCTCTTATATTTGAACAACACTGAAAATTTTCAGAAACTAAATATAGTAAGACAGGCTACCAATCCAAAAATTCGAAGTGCTACTCCCATTTTGACCCAAACAAGACAACTAAGAATGATGAACACAACAAAAAAAGATTTTTATTTTTTATCTTACTTATACTCAACTTGCAATTCCACGCAGCCAACATCTAAGTTTTCTTCTGAATTTCCAATTTAAACAATAGTTGCCATATTTAAGTTTACAAAGTTATTACTAAAGTAAAATGTTACTCAAAAAAAACAAAAAGTTATTACTAAAATGTTGTAGAAAATGAAGCACACAAAAGTTACTTGGTAAACACATATTCAAGATAGTGTGTGACAGATATAATACTTAACTGAGCAATCCAAAAAATATCACATACTGCATAACCAGAAAAGTGAAGAAAAAACCATACTTGAACATACTGTGAAAATTAGGACATACCTCTAACTTTTTTGCAGATATTCGAGAGTCATGGCCAACAGAAATTCTCAAATGTTGAGAACCATCAGCTTTCTTCTTTTCCACTAACCATGCAGCAAAAGCAGCTCCTATTGCTTCTGAAACAGGTTCAGTCAGACTGATTGGCTCTCCTTCAACCCCAGCAACAGCAACACCTCGAATATCACTGTGTATGTAAACATCAAACCACATAGAATAACATATCAAATCGGTAATTCCAAAAACTGTCAAGTGCCGAGAAAGTTGGAAACAGTTTAATTCAAGACTACTCTATGGTGGCATCATTTGTTACCTGCCATTTTGTAGTTTTGAAAAATCAATTTTATCAAGATATGGCACTGCAGTGGTAGATGGAGCAGCTGCAAGAAAATCCCAAATGAATATCGACATTATCCAAAAAGGTAACAGTTTATAGGACCATAATGAATAAGTTGACATGCAATCCAAAATTTTATAATTTGAAACCTAGGCCATCCAAACAACCCAAATAAAAACTCGCCCATGCCAAAGAAAAGATTTTTATGACAAGCACGAAATAGAAGAGTACGTATTTTAAGGAAGTGTTGAACACTAATTTGAAATCTGATATCGACCTTGATAATGAGAGTCTAGAACAGACCATTGCACTGAACAGTTCTTCGGTTTATGCAACTGCTCTGGTATTTCGATAAGTTGTGCAATTGCATGGATGGAATGGAAGTGCATGCTAACTTCCCTCGCTGGAAGGGAAGCATGTTGCGCAAAAAAGGGGCAAAATTGTCCCTTTGATATTGGGTGTCAAACTTCCTACTTAGTTGGTAGCACTGAGACACAGAAACATTTTGGACAATCTTCCCTGACATTGCTGCATAGAAGTTTTGCAATTTTATCAGATCTCATGGTCATAAAATATTAATCAAGAGAGTTGTTCATCAACGGTTTTTGTGAGTCTTGAAACCCATCTCCAAATTTCACCAGTTATTTGTGAGCTAAGACGGGTCAATTCTACAGAACAGTCCAATCTTTTGGAATTTCGAATTACAACATAGGAGAACTGACAGTCTGAGTAGAAGAGGGTTTCATCTAAATTCATTTCAGTAATGCCATACAATGTGATAACTACTTGATCAAAACTTGCATAATATCAACAAAGCACATAACAGATAACAGACAGAATTAGGATTCAATCCTCATATCGTCTTCAGCAAAACACAGTTCACAATCAAAACAACGAATCAATGCGTATTTTCGTTATCTTTTCATCAACATAATCTACTTATTAAGAACAATTCCATTCACCATTAATCCAAACCAACTTAAGATTCAAATTAAAAAAATACAAATAAAATAATCACCAGTTTCGTATTCAGTAATCCAGCAGCTAGGATTGAACTTCAAAATTTCAACTGACAACTAAATTAATTAACAAAGAACCCTAATTTATATTCTCTAATCACGCACATCCCGAACGAAGTGAAATAATTCTATGCATTAAAAATCGTCACTTTCGTAAAGCAAATCCACAGAGCAAATAACAACTTACAAAAAAGAACAAATCTTTATCTAATGGGAAAGCTAGGAGGATTGGTATTAGTTCAAATTTCAGAAAAAAGAAGCAGAATTTTACCTTCCATCTTGTAAACCGATCGGCGTTCGTGGAGAAAGAGGCAGGCGGAGAAGCCGATAGATGCAAGAAGAAGAAGGTGGTGGAAGAAGAGGGTAGGTGGATGAATATTGAAGGCCACGGACACCTGGCTATTTCTACGTATTTTATTTTGCCTACAGGTTTCCGTGACTCAAATATATTTGTCGAATCAAGGAAAACACTATCAACAAACAGTTACTCTATCTACTACGGTACCACCACCAAGTTCTAACTTTCTTTCTGGTACCTTCTATTCATATGACTAGAAGGCAATCTTTAGCACGGACATGATCATACAAGCTCTCATTTCCTTTTATACGAATGGTGTACTTAGAGCTAACGGAATGCTCAATGTAAAATCAATGGCACTAGCGTTGTAAGATATATATATAGTCGATCTTATTTAGTGGAATAAGGTTTTGTTGTGGTTTGTGTTTTAGTAATGCTTTCTTTTTCTTATGTATCGATAAACGTAAAAAAAATTAGAAATCAAAATAATTTCAATACTCATGCGTTAGTAAACACATAAGAATTCAAAACATAATGGTTTCAGTTTTCGATTCAAATTAGTAAACACGTCATTTGTTAAAAGTATATGTTGAGTTTAAATCTCAGTAACAAGAATATGTGTTTAGTTTAAATCTCATGAACGAAAGTTATTAAATAAAACATCTTTTATCATGTTTCAATTTATGACCACATGTGAAGTGGAAGATAAACCAACCAACTGGACCGGTCGACATCAGCAGAAGAAGAAAGGAACGAAAGTTGGATGAACCCAGAAAACGTGTCCACAGACAGAATGGGCTCAATTACACAAATTGGACTAAATATCTAATGGGCTCATCTGTTGGCTAATTTTTTCTGACCCAACGATTTAGAACGACTTTCCATTTTATTACAAATACCACACTTCGTAATCATACGTTGATGAAGTGCGTCATAGACAGAAATTAGAATTAGGATTAAATCGTACTTTTACGGTTCGTTATCTCATTGTGTATAAAATTATAAAATAAACTTTGAATATGTGCAATCACTTACAAACAACACTTATCAAATAAATTTACGCGACTCTGATAAGAACTTAGTAATTTCATACTTACCGTTTTGTTTCTTTAGTTTGACTGTTATAGTATAATTCTCATTTCTGAATTCTCCTTATTAGTTAACGTTTCTTGTATATCAAGTAAGCTCAACCCTATATATTGTAACCATTGTACATTAATTAATACAAAAAACATATTTCTTCGTTGACTCTACAACTAGACGTATTTAGAAATGAATGTAACATGATTACTGTCTAAATAAAACATAATGTCACATGCTGAGCCTCAACATTTGCTTCGTGGTGTTCTTTGTGTTGACTTTGAGATTAATCAATGTCTCAAAATACATTGTTAAACTTAATTATATTTTATGTTCCCATGCATGCAATGCGTGAAGGTGATTAGAAAAGGCAAAATTAATTAAGATTCAAATGGAAACACAGGTTGGAGTTTGTTTGAAAAAAAACCCATGTCAGAAATCCGATCGATACAGTTGACTAATAAGGGGAGTAGGGACGCAAACCATGGAAATCTTGGATCTTGGTCAATAAAATATACACATAATATTGAGAAACACATCATCATTGTAAATTTGTTATACAAAAAACGAGTTCTTTTCAAGCCATGCTATATCCATCCTTTTCACACTCAGAGAGATTATGAGGAAATTTCATTCTGCCTGGGTTACAGTCAAGCAGACTCACTAACTCATAGAATCAAACCCGGGTCCACGTCCTTACTGCTGTGCCACTTACTGTGGTTACAAAAAAAGAGTTCCAATTTTCAATTTTTGTCTAATATTATAGTTGACCAACATGGATTTTGTTTGAAATTTGGTTGTACATGTTAAGATTTTAGAGTGACGGTTGATCCAGTACTAATCACATTAATATTATGCTATTACAAAATAATGTTGCAATTAGTAATTTTTTATAATATAAGTTGTAATTTGTTTTGTAAAATAGTCGATATGAGACTTTTAACATTATTTGACAAACACAACTTTCATTTGTCAAATGAAGATCTAAATTCCACGCAGAATGATGTGTGATATCTCCATCTTTTGCTGTCTTTTTATGAATTTGGTTTGTCTCTTGGGTTGGTCCAGCTTGTGAGATTTGCTAAATGTCAACTCGCAATCTTAATTTTATAGTTGAAAAATAATAATATTAGTGTGGAGTTACCTATCTCACGAATCTTTGTTGGTTTGATTCTTAAGATCTCAAGCTTTTTAAGTAAATAGTTCAAATCCCAAAACATATATTTGTGGCAGAATAGTAAATCAAAATGGTTAGGATTAACTTGTCTTGCTAACGGTCATCAAAACTCTAGGAGCGTTTTAGGGTTCATGATTTCCAATGCCTCAAAACATGGATTAGTTGTTCAACTCATCTAAACAAGAAATCCTTAGAGATCTTTTAATGAGATAATAGATAAGAAAAAAAAGTTAAAATTTAAAATCGACACTGGTTACTGGTTTTCTTCTCTCTCTTCATGTTCAGTTACAAATTAAAATTTGAAAGATATGAATACTCTACGATTACAGTATTATAGTATTACGTGATATAATTAATTTACGTGTTGTAATATGATAGTATTACTTCATAAATATCCATTTTCAAGGATAAAACCATGAATTCTTATGTATAATCTAACTAATGAAACAATCACACACTTTTACACCCTCTCCAAGTGTTATTTCAAGGTCTTGTCTCTTTTCTCGTTAAATGTAAGGATGAGTTGAAAATTTGCATTAATTAAAGTATCGAAAGACTTCAGATAATATCACATAATACATGCAATTTTTTCACCGCACTTAAGACTTTATTTAGGTAAAGATATTGCAAAAAAAAAACTAGAAAATTAAGCTCTCAAGCAATACACAATTTAGTACGGTGGGAGTTACCCAAAATTTGAAACAATAGAAAATGAAACTCTAAACAAGGATCAAGAAAAAGCAACCGCACAAGTTTCTCATTTGAGTCTTCGAGTACGGATTCTACCATCGAAGTTTTGTTTATTACTTCCATGGCATCTTCAAGATCCATTGGTGCATTGGTGCATTGGTGCAAAGGCAAGCATGAAGCACCACCGTTTTAGATGTTACGCCATATAAAGTCTTTTTGCTGTCTTCGAAAACTCACTGACAAAACAAACAGTACAATGTATTGCTCATATACATAATGCATAGCTTAGAAAATTAATGAGCATTCAAGTAAATGATTTCAAGGCAATAAAACATGTGTGAGATTACCAGAATGGCTCGTCTCCCGTGTGTTTAACAACACCTGATGCATCTCGGTAGAGCACATTTCTTAACTTCTTTGAACTTTCTTTGCCAAACATATTGGCCAGCTTTCCATACAGTTCTTGGTATGATCTAAGGACAGAAAGATCAAGTGTCCCCACTTCCCCTGAATCAATAAACACTTTGCAATAACCAGTGTCCAAACTAAGATCACTTTTATGGTAGTCTGTCTTCCAAGGAGACCCTCCATCAGAACAGTTTTCCACTGAACCATGACCATGTGATATAGAACCAGAGCCATCAGAACAATTTGTTGTTTTCTTTGAATGTCCATCTGATGAACTATCATCACCGGATGAGCTCTTAGATATCTGTTCTCCTGTAAAAATTAGTTGACCAAATAATAATATGTGAGGTGCCTTTATCTCATCATTATCCTTCAAACTCTGGGTGGGAATTCCCTTTTTCAGACAACAAGAGATATTATCATTGCTTTCAGCCTTGCGCATGAAGTTGCCCCCAGTGGTTTCAAGAGGCGCAAAGTGACCATGTTGTTGAAAACCAATTGAAAACAAACCCGATTGCAGTTTGTTGAAGAAGAGCCCCGATGAAGATAGTCCAAACTGAGCATGCCTGGCTCCCTGTATGCCTGCAGATAGGTTGTCTGATACATTACATAAGAGGTTGCTCGAATTTAGGGAGTTGCTATAAACTGATGGCATGGGAAGTTGTCCAACAAGGGAATAGTCTGGGATATGTTGAAGCCGCAACTTCTTTCTTGGAAGCGAGAAGGGGGAGAGATGGATGGCTGGTATGCTCGATACCAATTCAACCAACCATGGGCTAACACGTTTCACATTTTGGAGCAGATCTGGTTCATCCCATGAAACCTAAAAAACAATCTTTTGTTTAATGACTAACAAATGATAATTTCATACTTCTGTTCCACTAACACATGCAGTATAATATATATCAGCAGTGAATGTATAAATGTAATCTACTCACAAACCTACAGAATTTTACTTGCTAAAAAGGTATCTATTGAATACCACAGATGCACATTTATGTTCTAGGACGACGATTTAGCAATAGTTTAAGATGAATTACATGCAAGTTTTGCAAGGTTAACTCAATATGATAAAAACTATGGAGTAGGTATGTAACCAACCTGTAGAAGACGCCATGGAGACTCGGGCCAACAGATAGGATCTGCAACCTGAACAGAAGATATGGTTCCCATGAACCAGCTTATCCGAGAAGAATCCTCAGTTTCAAAGGGCATTTTGAACCTCATTCCTGAGCACCACCGTATTCGCATTGCAGCTCTTACAGCTGAGGCCTTAACACAAAACTCCGGTGTGCTTGCACGGGGATAGTACGCAACCTCAAAGGGCTGGCCACTGGCAGCAAGAGTTGCAGCTTCTATAACATATTCAGCCCTGATTTTTCCCTTCGCGTCACCACTAGAAGTCTTTTCCATCACTTTATTGCCATTCTCCCTTGAAGAGCTTGAATAAACCCCATATTCAGAGCCAGAATTTCCAGATGCGTTTTCAGGTCCACCGCCAATTCCCCTCTTAGCCCTTCTAATCCCAACACAAAGATCCCCATTTTCCGCTCTGAAAAAGACAATTGAATCCCCAGCAACAAGCTTCTTGTGGTTCACAAAATTACTCCACCCCGTTGTCAGAAGGTGACGCCGAGGAGTACCTCTATAAATATGCCTAAAATCCCAAATCTCTCCGTGCACATCCTTTGCAAGAATGTTCTGAACTGGTGGCTCAGCCGAGTAATTCAAGCGCGGGAAGAGAGTCTCCGCACAGTAACGAGGCACAGAGAAGCCTCCCCCATTGTTGGCATCAGATTGGGTCAATGTCTTTG